TCCTGCAGTGTAGCAGTCTCGTCTCACCCCCTGTACATCTCAACACATGATGAACAACGAAATCCACCCCCTTTCTGTGCTATTCCCACCATCAACAGGCCAAGGAGCCCCTTCTCAGGATAGGAGGCATTGTGAGGTACTGCTAATGACAGCTTAAAGACCTGCAAGAGTGTTTCTCCAAAACTCAACAGATGTACCATGCACAAATATAATTGCTGTCTTCTGACTTGCCCAAATTTAGGTATAGGGAAATAGGAGTGGAAGAAGAATTGCTGGAGGAGAGAAAATAGCCTGTTTCAGAGGGTCAGCAACTCCTCTTCCCCTCATTTTCTTCCTATCCCAATCTACACACCTCAAGGAAACCATATACATATACCATACAAATATAGCAAAATGCCCTATATTCAGAATATCTTCTATCTGCTTCAGAGGCACTTGAGGCTTTGGTTCAAAGGTGATGGTAGCAGACTTTACCAGATCCATCACATTTTGACCTGTGAGGCCTACTGCCAAGCAGAAGTAAAGCACTCGTTCAAATATTTGAAATTAGGTTGTATTGAGATGTAAGCCAAGGAATTAACATTTCATTTTCATATTTGTACAAGTTGGTTTTTACCACCAATTTAAAGAGCCAACATCAGTGGATCACATCAGTGGGTTCTGCACCAACACGTTGTAAGACCCAGTCTCTGTCACATGGAAATTACCATCTAAACAGACAGAAGAAATATTACTATCCCATTTGCAGACAGGGCACTCAAGCACAAACACGCTACGGAATACGCCTGAGGATACCCAGAAAGACGGCATCAGTCAAGCGAGCCATATTGGGGTATAAACAACACAAGCCCTTCACTTATTGCTTCTCCAGACACTCTGTATCTTCCTTTAAATCAGCCTATTAATTCACCACCAGGAACACCACAGGTGAGGAAGGTGTTGAAATGTATTTTCTTTCTGTTGTCTTTTTCGTATGTATATGAGAACAAAGGACTGAAGTCAATATGAATCAATTACATCAATATACCTGTTGTAGGAATTAATTACCTTTAAATATATATTTTTAAACAAATTATATTATGCTTGTTTATGCTCTTATGTCACTGAAAATCAGAACCTATCTGAAATATGAAAATGTATCTAAGGACTGAAGAATGGGGAAATTCAGGTAAAAGCAAACAGGCCAGCTTGATAACAAGTGCATGGTAAACAGACATTTCACTGAGAAGGAGACTTTTCAGATATTTCCATGACATGTTGTTGCCACTTGAAATGTGGTGCCTTCTGGTGCTGTCTCAGAATATCTGGCAGAACATGTTGTATGTAATCAGACACTATTTATTCAATGTACAATTTTTTTAAATCCTGTCTTCTCTGATAAGCATCGTGTAAGACAAATGTTCTACTTGCCAAATAATTTCCTTTAGAAAAATTGAACAAGCACATCTTTAGGATTTTCTGTTGCTAGCAACTCTGACTCCCGTCTTTAAAAGTCCTTAATGCCATAAAACAAAATCTTTAAGATGCTTTGGCACACCGTCAAATCTTCTATTAAAGGAAAAGATATTTAAAAGATATTTAAAAATAGTAGTACTTACACAAAATAATAACTATAATAATCATTAAATTTACCATTAAATCTAACTTTATCTTTCTATTACATAGAATAAACAGTCACATTGAGGGGCTTATATTGTGAGCCCACTGAAATGAAATTCACCACTCATTGAACTCAATCCTGTGCTTAAAACAGCACTTGCCTCTACTACTTCATAGTAAATGAATGCTAATGAGTAATATTCCAGCTAACTTTTAGCCAACTAAATAATTTCTTGGTTCCCCGTGTAGAACTTGTGCATGGACATTTTCCAAAAGCACTGTCAAGGCTAAGGCCTGATTTTAACCAGAGACATTTTAAAAAGCACAGGACAAAAAGGAAAGTGGCGAAAACGAAAATCATCAGAGACAATGTTAAATAACACCTCCAGTCTTGACAAGAGTGTTGGCAAGATATCCGACCCCGAGGTTAGCACATCTTCCCTGGCTACGGCAGAGCTTGCGCAGGAAACCAGCCACTTTTTCTCACATTATCACATCGATGGGAGCCGTGCAGGGAAGCACAAAAGTGACCTGCAGTTTTCCTGGCTCTGGCATCAGGTCTAGTGTGTTAGATTTGCACTTCTTCAAAACAGCTTATAAGATGCAAGAAAATATTTGTCCACTTGGCTACCTGGAAATGAAGACATTTAAGTTCTCACCTGAGCACTGCCTGCTAACAAGGAATGCAGTGAAACAGGAGTGGATCAGGAGATTAAATCCAGCTGTGCTGAGATCCCTACAGCTGCAACATGCACTGCTGTACCATTTTGGATAACATGCATTTTGTTCCCCTGGACCAAAATGGTTTGAACCTATGCCTTGTTGCAAGTTGTTTTTCCACCTGCCACATCGCACCCCAGCCATCCTCTCCAGCACAGGACTTTTGCACAAGCTTTTTGCTTCTGAACATGTTCCTGCTTGACTCATTCTTTGTCCTATTCCAGGGGACACTGCGGACCTGCTGCCCAGGCCTCCTCCCAGGGCTGAGCTGGGCCACAGGCAGAGGCACAATAGGAAGCCTCACATGGAGGACACGGCAGCTCCTCGGGACACCCGGAGTGAACTGGTTCTAAACAGCCTTTGCCTGGGGAAGAAGATAAAGGCATTGAGTTTCTCAAAGTCTTTGTGGGCTTTGTCAGCTGAAGGCTCTGGGCCACGGAGATGAGCTCGAACCAGTGGGTGACCCAGCACTGACATGCAGAGTGTCAAAATTAAACACGCTGGCACTAGGGCTGCACTGCACGGTGGCTGCCTCTTGGAGCCTTGTGACCTCTGAATCCCACCAGCCAGCAGCCAAACAGGCTGCGGTGGACAAATCCAACACAGGCAAAGTCACGGTTAAAGATCCTGCAGACACACTCCAAACTTTTGGAGTTTGTACCGAAGGAGTCAGAGGTATCACTGAAGCATCCAAGACACTGCTTTCCAGTCGTTCCCTATCTGTCAATCTGATTCTGCCTTCCAGGGCCTATCCCAGAGCAGCTCCAACTACATAACTTGCAAGGACTGCCACTCAGTGGTCAGTGGGCCTCAGCAGACCCAGCAGCACACTTTTACAGACATCCTGGCAGGCTGTAACAGGAGGCCTCATGCTATTTGTGTTTGCCCTTCCTCCAGCATCAGGTTTAAAGGGGATGCTGAAACCTTCTTTCCAAGCAGGATCACTCACAGCATGATGAAGAGACTCTCTGCTGTTGAGTGGGGAAGCCATACCCACACAACAGCAGGTAACAGGGCTAGTTTAACCACATGCTATGAAGTGCTATGAGTAAATGGAATGTGCTTTTTTTCGTTGACTACAATATGGCAGGTCCTGATTGACAGACTAGACACAAATGTGCAAACTGCACAGGCTGCACAAATCAGTGCAGCCCTGATGGCTGCTGTGTCCTACACAGCTTCTGCGAGGAACTGGCTGAGCCTTTCCATCTGGCCCAGAGCAAGAACTATTTCTTCAGCAGCTTTATGCTCATCTTCTGCAGTCTGTGGGTAACTGGAGAAGCCAGATGCCCCCATGTCTGATCATGCCTTCATTAATGGGGTGAACTGAGCAGGGTAAGCTGGAGTTCAACGACTTTTCTATGCCATTCTGTTTTCTAGAGGAAGGGTTTAGGTGTGTTTGCTTTACCCTTGCTCCCCATGGGACCTCAATCCCTGCTTCTTCTGAGCAAGTATAGTTTCTCTGACTATGTCTGTCCTGGCCCTCTATGTCTTTTTTGACCTTTTGAGCACTCTGGCATGCATCTGTGGCTGCTGCCTCCACAGCCCTCAGGAAACATCACAGGCTGAGGGCTACGTGTTTTGCTAGAGAAAAATGCGGCTGACAAGAGCCTGTGCCATGCAGTTCAGGAAAGGGGGGAGGGTGAGGAGAGCTTTGCTTGCTGTCTGTCTGCTTCCTGGGAGGTAGCGGAGAAAGTGGCAGAAGGAATAAGTCTGCCTAAGCAGCTCGTATGGATGGGGGAGTAAGACTTGACGAGAGCTAGAAAGGCAAGGGGGGGGAACCAGCTGGTTGGATAACATAGGACAAAATAAGCACCCTTCACCAAAGAAATCTTTTTTCCTTCCTGTCCACAGTGACACAAGACCTTCTGTCCTGTCCCATTTCTCCCTTTTTTATACCTAGAGAAGCTGGTCATTTCCCCTTTTACCAAGGCTTTTGGTCAACCCCTCTATACAGTGGCTGTGCCTTCTGAACCTCACAAAAGGCCACCTACACCCTAGATGTTATCAAGCACCTCCATTTCATGGAGAGCCTCCCAAATGGTCACCATGTGGTATGGAACCTGCTGCCGTTTTGTGTCCTTCAGCCCACACCTAAAGATGACTCTGAAGAGGGGAGGACAGAGCAGACTCTTCATTGTGCTCCATTAACAGGCCTACCTGGCACTCCTTGGGAGCACAGCCAGTGGAGCCAGAAACTCTCCTGGCGGAAAATGCAACTTGTACTCCATGACAATTGCTCAAAAAAGGAAATTCATAGAAAAGCAGCCCACTTACTCAAGCTGGAATGAATAGTACCGGTACAGGGGATTGCTGATACAGGCTTGGAGTGGGCTGAAAAGGTTTCCTGGATTATTCTTCTCTGGAGGACTCTGTGGGGATCCAAAGGATAACTTCTCCTTGTGACTCTCCTGCATGGACTGTCCAGAGCACAGACATCTAAGGGAGTGTCTGATTCAGCACTGTACTCTCCCTGGAAGATGTGTTCAAGGTGCCTTCACCATTTCTGAAGCTGTGGAACAGCTACCATGTCACCACCCTGCATGGTTCTTTCCTCGGGTCTTCAAGGATATGGACATCTAGAACTTGTTCTCATTACCAGCCAGCAGCCTCCTGATAGTACTGCAGTGCCATCTCCTTCAAGCTCTAGGTCAATGCTGGCTTCCCTGAAAGAAGAAAAGGATGGATGTTATGAAACAACAACAGCAGAAGGTACAGCAAGCAGAGCAGGGAAAAGATTAGGCAGGGGAACTGTTACAGAAGATGAAGCACGAGTTTCAGAGGTTCAGGGCCTGACAGTCAGCTGGAAACATGAGGGACCTGGTATGTCTTGGGCTTTGGTGCATTCTGAAAAAGACCTCAGAGTGTCACAGAATCTCCCAGAGAACTTCAGTCCACTCTAGTGAATTTTTTGACCGTCTGGCTCAGGCACTGCTTTGAACACTTTAGGAGTGGGCACACAGTAAGATCCACCTGAAAGTGGTTTGGTTTCCTCTAGAAAGGCCCAAGTCTGCATGCACCAACCCTGCCCTGTGGTCCACACCAACAGGCAACTTGGGGACAACTTGGGGTACCACTCCAGGGCCACACCCTCACCCAAGGCAACCTGCATCTGCACCTGCAGCTGCACAAAGTACACACAGAGCTGCTGCCGGTGTGAGGGAATTACAGACCAAGGACGAGACAGCGGTACAGCCCTGAGACCCAACCGAGCAGCAGAGTCCTGATCACAGCTTGGCACCACATCAGAGCACAAGCACAGTCAAACCAAGCACTGTCAGGAGTGTTAGCTGTCCCCAAAGGGACTGGGAGCAGGAGAGTCCATGGCTGCAGCTGCAGCCCTGTCTGACTGTGGTCAAGGAGCCTCTGACACAGCGGCACAGTGCCCAAGGCAGGAGGAAGAAATCTCAGCTTGCTCCTCAAGAGGGACATACAAATCACATCACCAGAAGTCGTTCAGTGACACAGCCAAAAGGTATGGGCTGTTCTTTTTGTTTAGATTTAGCTGATATTAGTGACATGATAGACATTCTCACTAGTACTGGCATTAAGATTTTTCACACTTAGGCTTAAAGTGATTAGAAGGGTTTGTCTTCCACGTACTTTCATTAAGCCATGCCTTCAGATTTGCTGAAAATGCTTTTCACTTTGTTGAAAACAAGATTTCACACTACATGTTTGACCAAACTTCTTTGCAATTCCCGCTCTCAGAAAAGTAAAGTCATTTCTCATTTCACTGTAGGAAGTCATAAAAACAAACCTGTCATTCATCTATGCCCTACAGGCTTTTCAACTCTTCTTTTGGCACTTGCCTTAGTATTGGAGAACCTTTACACATAATTGGGAAGTGAAGTGTTAATGCTTTCTGGTGTGGAGAGTAAAGGATAGGCTTTTTTTTTTTTTCCAGAAAGAAACAGAAAAATATCTAATGTTGACAAAACTTCAGTTTTATTTTTGACCTTTTAGTGTGGTGGTGTATGTGAGCATGGATTCATCCTCCCCTCTTCTTTCTTTCATGTCAATCTGTATTTAATAACAAGAGGCACAGTGCAAAGATCACCTTTTCTCACCATGTGGGAATGGACTGGACACAGTTATAGACATGACATCCACAAGCAGCATGATTATATTATTTTTGTGTTTCAATATATAAAAAAGCTGCCCTAGGGATAATAGGCAGGTCTAAGTAATGTACACATAACATATGGGCTCCTGCTGTGTATTTTTGACACCCCTTAATAGTGAGAATTAAGATCTATGACTCCCATCTCTCAGCTGATAACATCAACACAGGCTGCAGTGACTGCACAGAGCCTTTCTGAAATCAAATTGGTCTTTGAGCAAACACAGCAGGTCACGTGGAAACTGCTAAATAAGAACAGTTTAGAACTGCAACATATATAGAAACAAGGCCCATTTATTGCACCAGGTGAAGCTGTACCTGGTAGCTGTGTCTGACTCGGTTTTGTGATACAGGGTCATGCTTTTACTGGGGATATAGACAGGAACTACCAAGAGCAGCTCATAGCGATGCAAAGAGGTAATCTCCGGTGGAAAAAAAACCAACCGTCACCGAATAATTAATCTTGCATTCCACTTGAGATCTCTCCCACACAAATGGGGGAAGGTGTGTCATGATTCAGATCGCTGCCAAAATAGCACGACGTGGCATTTTGTAGTTTAATTGTCTCAACAGATCATTCATTTTTTTCTGTAAGACCAAGTTTGATTTGAGCTCTCATCCTTGAAATACCAGGGCGAACTTCATTAAATGCAGTTTACTTTTTCTGAGTGACTAACAAGACCTCTGGTGCTGTGGGAAGTACAACAGACTGCACATTCCCCAGGCAGCTATGCCAACATCACACATTGCCAGTCACAGCCATGTCCTCCCATGTCCTTCAGCATGTATTAACCATAGGACAGCCATGATCTGTAGCAAGTAGTAAGAAAACTGCTAGTAAGACCCCTTAAAAGGCTGGACTTCGAGGCAGAAAGTCCAGGACAAATAGCATGATCCCACCACTGGGAATTTGAATCAGATTAACTTCTACCTTTTCCGTTTTTACTTATCGTCCATAAGGATGTTCTTATGCCCCCAGAGTTTCATGAGTACTACACACAGCACTGAGATGAAGCCCTCGTGTGCCTGCCACACACCTTACTCACATGTATAACTTAGTTAGAGATACTTATACATACTTAGTTAAACTTCATGAGGCCATATCTGGAGTACTGTGTCCAGTTCTGGGCTCCTCAGTACAAGAGAGACATGGAGATTCTGGAGTGGGTCCAGCAGAGGTCAACCAAAATGATTCAGGAACTGGAGCATCTCTCTTATGAGCAACAGTTTAGAGAGCTGGGCCTGTTCACCCTCGAGAAGGGACAACTGAGAAGGGACCTCATCAATATTATAAGTATCTGAAGGGAGGGTGCCAGGAGGATGGAGCCAGGCTCTGCTCAGCAGTGCCAAACAATAAGACAAGAGGCAAAGGGGAGAAACTGATGCACGGGAAGTTCCACCAGGATATAAGGAAGAGTTTGTTCACTGAGTGAGTGACTGCACACTGGAACAGGTTGCCCAGAGAGGTTATGGAATCTCCCTCACTAGAGATGTTCAAGAACTGTCTGGACACAATCCTGTGCAATGTGCTCTGGGATGACCCTGTTTGAGCAAGAAGGTTGAACCAGATGACCCACTGTGGTCCCTTCCAACCTTACCCATTCTGTGAATTTAGTAATTTTTCAGTAAATGGCATTTTTTTCCCCTAGAAATGTCAGAGGTGGCTTCTTGCGTTAGTAGTTTCAGTTCAGCACTTACATATTAGGGATCTAATATTTTAAAATAGTTTTGTAGTAAGTTCATAAAGCTCTCTGTAAAATCTCAAGGTATTCAGCTTTTATATGTCAGTTTGGCTTTCTCAGAAGTTAAAATTATTACAGTTAATCCCTAGTTAGACAATTAAAACACTGGATACCCATGGAAGACACTGAAATGCTTTTTAGAGAAATACATGAGTGCATGTGACTACTACCAAGTTTTTGGGTTTTATAATCATTCACTTACCATATTAAAAGAAAAATATACAGCAATACAAAGTCAGTTGTAGAAAAAAATCAGAGTAATGGGCTACAGTTTCTCAGATTTTTCCATACGGAATTATAAACATGTAATTCTACCACTTACTGATCCACTACACTGAGATTAAGAAGAATTTGATTTGATCTCAATACTGGGCTGCTGAGCTCAACGTAACCATGGCAAGCACGATGAACAAGGAAATTGGAAACCACAGCAAGGTAAGCAAAGTACTCAGCAATTCACCCCAAGAGTGCCATCTTATCTATGCCTTGTTAAGGGATTAATGCAACACTGGTTGAAATTGGTGAGCTTTTTACTGCAGAGTTAATAAGAATTGTGAGCTATCAAATATGACAGAAAAAAGGGCTCCTGCAGCCACTAAAGAGGATGCATGAAGAAATAAATCTATTTTTTTTAAGTGTCCTAGTGTTTATCTGAAAGGAATCTGTAAGTTCACACAAAGCACATTATTTCTTTGCAACTGATAAACAGAGGCAATTCCCTCTCACCTTTACACAGAGACAGCCTTGCACTGCACTGCAGGAGGGCAAGCCACAAGTCACACGAAGAGGCAGATTTCTTCAAGGCAACATGGTCACTTCCCTCATTTTAGTCATGAAAAATGGAGCGTGCACTGTTACAGAGTCCCCAGGACCTTCCTTCGATATTGCCATAGAGGTTGTGTTCCAGCTTTTAGAAGTGTCCTTCACATTTTACTGCTGCAATGAAATGTTTGGATTTAATTCAATAATAATAATAATAAAAAAATATAAATATAGGGACTTGATCCAGCCACCGATATTTATGTCTACTTCATATTTTTAAAGGCTAAGCCTAGGAGAGGTGAAGCACAAGGGCTTCAGTTCAATACATACATCCTTACAGAGCGAAGCCTCCTGAGTTTTTCAGCTCCAGACAGCACCTGCCCAGAAGGCAGTTTGCACTAGTTACTACTGAACTTGTACTTCGCCTTTCCTTAAATAACTCATATAACAAATACCAACAATATAAATAATACTTCCCCCCTCATTCCCTTCAGTAGCTGAAACAGAATTAGTGGAATGAGAAAAGCAAATAAACTCACAGCATACATGATGACACTGAACAAATGTGAAAGCAGAACTGCAGTCTGGTTTGCATCACAGCCCTTCACCTCCACTTGAAATCCTGGAACAGACAGCCATGACTTAACTAATATACACATTGGGGACAAAGAGTAGATTTACTTACACAGTATTTGCAGTGACAGTTATTTATTCAATAAAAAGCAGCTCATGTCCACCCTGTCACAAATCTCTAGCAAATAGATTCTATTTGTCTCTCCACCTACTTCTTATTTCTGTCATTCTTGCTATTCATTATTGTCTCCGCAGTCAAGAGTCACAGCATCTGATGCATTGCTTCACTAGCACTTTCTCCAATTAAAATCTCACCAGAGACATCCCTCTCTAGGAAAACTTGATCCCCACTCAATAGGACTATTGCTGAACTCCCTCCATGGCCTCCCAAACCCCTCACAGCAATTCCTGACTTCGCCCTAGTCTGAATGCAGTAGAGCTCTAACAGTAAATCATCTTTCCCTCCACACTCTCTTGGAGTCCACTACTTCCAAGGAATTCCTTTGCTGGTCTCTTGCCTTTGCGTTCATGTTTTCCAGCTTCAGTGATGGACACAATCTCACTTCCACCATCTTTCCATTTCCCCCTGTCTGTCCTTAAAGCCTTCCTGAGCATCTCTTCTTGCTGAAACCCTGCATCTTTGCCATCATCTCCTTTCTTCAGCTGCAACATGCTAAAAATGAGATTTCGTTCAAGCACGTTGGAGACAGAATTACAGTTCATGTAAGGTGTTTTGAGATCATAAATGTCTGAGATCAGAAGGTCATGTATCAGTCTAATACAGTGTGTATTAAATGTGTCCTCAGGCTATATTTGATGCACCTGTAAAACCAGAATTAACAGGAACACTAAGGAAAGGAGTAATTGCTGAGAATTTCTAAGAGCTGTAGCACATGCTACAGGGATAAAGATGACAGTAATCAAGGTTAGCCTCCTCTGTCAGAATCATCTACTTGCCTCTCACAGTGAGATTTTGCGCTGAGATGTGATGTTCATCACCACCAAGAGGAAAAAATGAAAACCCATTATCCCACCAGTTAAGGTGAATAGATAGTAGGTGTGTTGGGAACACCATTTGAGGATTGTAGTGGCTCGTTTTCCCTGTTATTCACACATAATCTGTCCCCTAGAGTCTTTCCTTAGGCATTGCAAACAGAGAGAGAAAGAAGATTTATAAGTTCAGTATGTCACTAAGGGCATGGTTGAAGGCCAAATTAAGGAGAAGAGCAATGGAAGAAGGGAATGGAAGGTGGGAAATAGTATCAAAGGTTAAAATAATTTTAAGTTTAAAACCAGAGAGTGGGAAGATAGTGAATGTGACTAAAAGTAGAGCTGAAATAACTCTGAACATCAAAATACTCCAATATATAACATTTGATCATTCCTATCAGTGGGAATAAAGCAAAGACATTGAAGCAAAATAAATGTAATGTAAGAGTGTAAAGGAGAGGAGGATGTCTAGAAGTGTCCTTTTCTATATTGAGCCACTTCACAGTTTTCTCTGTTTCACTAAAATAGATCTTCACAAGCAAGTAATATTTCCCAGAGGGAAGCTAGTTAATAAAAAAATATTATAATTTCTTGCTATAAATGATACTTGTCTCTGTGCCCAGATATTTTGCCTTTGGGTGCAAAGCAGTTTTCTCCCCCATCTGCCGCTATTGGAGAGATTTTACTCTGAGTATTTCCTCATGCTGCCTCCCCATGGTTCCAGCGAATAATTTGGTGTAGACTGGGGCTACAGATAGATCATCATCATATGTTTTATAGAGAGGAACAAAAGCTGGAGAATCTGGTTCTAGAAAGTTAGTTTTCAGGTTTCCCATGACTACCAGATTACTGTTTTAGTTAAGGTACTGCCTAGGAATATCAGTCAGAAATTAAGGGTCTATTTCTAAACATAACATAGAGACAAATAACATAAATTACACCACTTCTAATGAGAATTTAAAAATGCTAGCCGAATCCTGTGCCCAGTCAGACAGTTCCACTTGAGAAGCTCTCAGTCCAGAAGTTGATTCTGACACAGAAGAGACACTAAAGAGAAAAGAGGGACGGGGGATAGGCAAGAAAACAGAAAACAAAAAAGCAAATGAAGTCTAACAGGAAGCCAGGACTTTGAGGATGCAGCTCCCTATTTGCTCACTCTGTCTTCTAAAAGCTGTGACAGTGGCCTCCACAGCAGTTTGCCATAGGGCCTATTCATCCTTTCTGTTTTGTTTTATTCAGGAGTCACTCAAAAGTTAGATAATGGAAAGTAATATTTAAGATACTGAAAAAAGCACGGTAGAGTTTAAATTTTAAACAGACTTGCAAGTGAGCTTTGCCCTTACCTCTTCACTGGAGGAAAAGGGTGGGAACTCCTATTGTATATCTCTGATAAATATTCACCTGATGTAGTAAGACCTGAACAAAATACAATCTCAAGTCAACCACTTTTAAGAAGTTCATTGGAATTTTCTGCTTTTTTATTGAAGGATCTTCTGACTTTTGCAGATCATTCAGTGTGAGGTTCTATAGAGCTACAGACACGATATAATCTTCCCTAATTACTATCAACCATTACTTCTTCATTATTCATTGTTTTTTCACACTCTGGTAGATTGATTCTCCTCATTTTAATCAGTCAACTCATCCCACGAGTCAGAATCTGTATAAATGTCAAGTCAATACCTAATTCTGTTAAGGCTGAAATTGAAAACCTTATCTCATAAACCAAACTACATTTTGCAGTCTGGGCTCTGAGTCAAAGTCAGGTGATGTGAGGGAAAGCTCAAAGAATCAGAAGAAATTCCTGGAACATTTTGTAAGCCAGTGACAATAAATTGTGTGTCTCACCAAATTCCACCTCAGGTAGATTCCTGCCACCCTACACTAGAGTATACTGTAACAGGCTTACCATTTCCAGTAAAGATTTTAGTATTTTAGTAGGGACTTATTCTGCATCCATTAGTGCCCTGCTCAGTGCTGAAAGGCTTAATGAGTTGCTTGAGATATCTAGAATAGTATATTATCACTCACTTATTGGAAAAGTACCAGGTAGATTATCAAATTATTATCTTTTTTCCTTTTATTTTTTTTTTTAATTAATAACTGAGGAGACTCTGCTTTTAACTGCAGGAAAATTCCTTAATCCTTAAGCACACGGAGATCACAAGCCATAGAGAAATTAAAAGGATATATATAAAAAGGTGCCTTCAGACAACAGTAGGTTCTGAATCTATACATATTTTCTAATTTCAAAGCTTCATGAGGACACCATTTTTGTAACTTGACAGGAAGAGAAGAGTGGAGACTTGTGCTCCTGCTTAGATGTT